CCACATTTTTTACAGTGTATTTTGTAGTTTAAAGGGTCATATAATGGTACTGTACATGCACTTTTACAAGTTGATTGTACTGAAATGCGTGTTGGCAGTTCCTGTACACAACCATCATATATTGATAAAAATCCATCCAGAGTTTCTGTTTTAATCTGCTTATATGTATTGCCCTGTCTCAAATCGAGCCGTCACAAGGCGTGTGACGCCCCTCCCATGGTTGTTGACAGCAGTGTTTCAACACAGACCCGCCCTGAGCGAGCTGTCATCATAGTCCGTCATTGTTGATACACTGGATCAGAATGGCATCAAAGCGATTGTGTTGTTCTGTTCTTGGGTGCAATAACAAACAGAAATCATTTGGATCTTCCTAAATTTGAACCGCTGAAGACACAGTGGCTGAGTTTTGTTTACAATGGGAATATTCCCCACGATCAACGTCAATGCTTTCATGTTTGCGCGAATAATTTATCATAGACTTCTTTATAAACGAGGGTCAGTATAAAGCTGGTTTTGCGAAGTATCAGTTTCTTTTCAAACTGATACTGTTGCACAGATGTGTCCTCAGACTCCCACTACCATTCTTTCTCCAAAATATACCTCCAACTGTTGTCAAGGCAACACTCCACGTGCGCTGTGTCTAAACGCCCGCAGAACAGAGGGGCGGATTTTATTATTTAAAGGCATATGCTCTGAAATGGCGTGCTGAAAACAGAGCTGATTTTGACCAAATAAAATGAGTGTTTTCTTAATACGAATGAGAATTTTTAATAAATGTATGTTACAAAGTTTCCATTTAGACCCTAAACTGAATATTAACTTGTACAAAAATGGCATTATATGACCCCTTTAATTAAGGTTAATGACAGACAGCAGCAGCAATACTAGGCTGCTGGCACTAAGATCAAATGCACTAAGGGTCCAATATAATGATAGGCATCCGAGGATACAGAATTTTGCGTCAAGCAAAAATAGACACAGAAGCTAAAAGAATTAGGTATTAGCGTGCTGTCTGTGCTACACTGTGTGCGCACAGAAAACAGAGTGTGAAGTATTGACTTGTATTGACCTAATTGACTTTAACATCTTCTTGTACTCGAATGGTTTAAAATCAACATCTACACTGACAGGACCTAAATCACATGCAAATGATAAACTTTCACTTTATGATGGTTTGTAATTAATCCAACAAGAATCACGTGATGTGACTTTAAAACTGTGGTACCTGATCCATCGAAATCAACTACAATACCCATTCTTGACATCGCACATCCTCCGATGAGAGTATCGCAGATGCGCACTTTGCAATATCGATGCTAAAACAAAATATCGTGCAGGCCTATGTTGAACATTCCTATATTTATGTGCTGCCCTATAACAACCCTCCATAAGCTTTGAAGAAGCTCACAAGTTTAACTCCAAATTAAAGCTTTTTTTAAATCAAATAGATACATTTTCTGCCTGGTGTTTTACATCATCTTTCAAACCAGGCAACTATGAGCAGCACACACTCTCTCTGCACTGCAAAAAAAATCTGGTGATCTGAAAACAAAGACAAACCTGTATGTTGGAGTTTAGTATATTCGGCTCCAAAAAAAAAAGTGTAATTCAGCCAGTTTGTGTTCCCTCACAAGGCTGCTTGCTTTGGATAAATCTGCAAGAAAAATGCCTCAGTGACGAACTGTAATATATTCAAACATGAATCTATACTAATATTGTTTGCGATTGTGCTTGCTGAATAAATGCACTTGCACAACAGTACAAAGCCTCTTTTGTTGTTGTAGAAAAAAAAAAAGTTAACTTAATTTGCAGTTACTCAAATTAATATTAGGAATTTCACCGTTTTAGCTTTTGAGGGGAGCTTCCGCATTTTTCATAATGAAGAGTGTGTTGATGAATCTAATAATGAATCAGGAAACCAGATAAACCCTGCGTACGAGTTCTCCTGAGCTCAAGTAAAAGGGCAAGAATTCAAATCAGAATTTGAGAAATTATTAAATCACAATTATAATAGGAGCAAAATAATTGTTCATCAGTACAACCTTTATTGTGCAGCCCTAAACAGGCTGCCAAAAATGCACCAGTACATGTGAACAATGCAATCGTCTGAATGTGTTCATATTGTATTCACATCTTTGCGAGATTCGAACTTGAATGCTATCACATTTCCTCCAGACCACCAGCCAAGACACAACAGAAAACATCAAAAGCAGCAAGATTTAGCATTCCAGTCAGAAAAATACAACCAACAGGATTTTCCCAAAACAGGTCGCAACACCTCCTAACACTCTTTTTAATGTCTTTGCCAAGAAAGGAGAGTTATAAGATTCCCACCTATACAGTTAATGCAAAATTTGATTCAGTCAATTAAAGGCATCCTTCCCTGATAACATGGACAACTACTGAAAAACTGCAATAACAATACTGTCTACTACAGGAATGGTGGCCACACAAATGTTATTTATGAGCCATACAAAAAGATACTGAAGCAAACACTACAGCAGAGCCATAGAATATGCTGACTTGAGTAATGTTACAAAACCTGTGGGAATATCAGAGCATGCTATCATTATATTGGTCTATTACTGCTGGTATCTACAGTATAGTGCTCACACTGCCAGCAGCACGATTTTGCCTAATGGCACCAACAAGTTCTTGGAGAGTTACACTATAAAAGAGAAAAGATGGTAAAGAAGCAGCTCATCATAAAAACCTTGATATAATGAAATAATTCCCCAGAGTTGAGTTCCACAGAAGAAATAGTCATACGGGTTGGTACCAAGCGCGCACAAGCCCTGAAAAGTGAAGCCAAAACATCTCGATCGCCCCGTGGTGACCGGTCCAAGTATAGGTCAAACACCCCGCCTCCCCATGTTATTCAACGGTACGTGAGACCAACTAAACATTTTTCCAAAGATTATTCCAAAGATTAAGATTATTTCTGCCATTAACAGTAGTTTTTATCACGCTGATGTAATTTCAAGCGTTTGTTTTTAGTTTAGTTTTAGTAATATGTTTTTAGTTAGTTATTTGATGCAGTGGTGGTTTTTTTGGGATCTTCGGAGAACTGAGGAGATTGGAGCTCTAAATTTAATATATAATTAAAATTAGTGTGATTGATTCCTTGAGAGTGAGGGCGGGGCCTTGACTTCGCGGCTTTATTTCCTGCTCAATATTGCGCATGTCTGGTCCCAAAATCGCAGAGTCTCAATTTAATTTATTCAAAATGAACTTTTGTCGAAAATCTGCATGAACAGTCCTGTGATTTTGGAAATTGGTTCCGTTTCTATTTTTATAAAATTCCCTAGTCCAAAGCGTGTAATGTAGGCTGTTTTATCTTTCCCACACCTGAAGGATTTAGCGATGTCAGAGAGCGGAAACATTGGTTGAAACAATGTAGGACTGGTGTCTTGTCACCATGTGGAGAACCCAGAGCCCCTCTGCTTTTAGTGTTAGCTCTGATCCAAAAGCAACACGGAGGTCGACTGCCCCAAAGTCTGCTTGCCATGGTCCATAATGTTTAAACGAAACGACAGCGTGAGCATGCCGCTAGACGCAATGCAGTTATCCACGTCTGTCGCATGGTTGTACTATGGCAGTACTTGAGCGGAAACAAGTGATAACGCGGATATTGCATCATTGACAGGCAACAAGTGAAGGCTTTTTCGGGATGGACAATTATTTAAAATTGGAATTTCTCTGAAATCAAAAATCTTTGGGAACTTTTGGGATATTGTAAGTACCCAACCGCTGGAAAAATATCACACTGTGCAAGAGATATTTGGACATTTTTACTGCACAATTCTTACATATTGTACATTTAAAGTCAGCATGAAATGGAAGTTTTGATAGTCTTTTCATTGTGATATATATCCAAGTGAAATCTGAGGGAATTGATTGGATAATTGTGGTCTGCTATTGCTGTGATGTCGTGTGAGTGACAGGGGGTCCTGCCCTCATGCAAGCAAACATGTCATCATAGAAAAAGAAGAGCAAGGGAGGGGAAGTTGGTTTGATTAAAGATTATAGGGGTACATGAATTAACAAAACAATAATGTGCACAGATCATTTATAATAAATACTACAATATTTCATTAAACAACAAGAATTGCCCATTTTGATTTCATGTTGACTTTAAGGATACAGAGTGAATTCATTTGTAGACAACATTTTAACAATAATTGAAGCACAAAAAGAGTGGAATTTGACTACAAGAACTACCACCACAGCCTAAAACAGCTTCATCTTAAACCCAGCATTAAACATCAAAGAGCTCCTCCAGCATTGCAATTATGTGGTAAGAGCAGAATTACTGCATCACGTGTCCAAATAAAGTTCCCATCTGAAAGGTTGCGACAGCAATGAAGGGCATTAGGAAATTAATTATTGGATTCAAGTACAACACGCAAAGGGCTTAGCTTGCAAGACTGAGCAGTATTATTTGATTAAATACTATCAGGAATGCAGCTCAACTTTTTTTTTTTTTTTTTTTTTTTTTAAATTGGCAGGACACATCTCTACGCGCTGCCTAAAACGATTATCTTCACCACAGCAGAGGCGTCACCAGTCTCTCAAACCTAGTAAGATGAGTGTCCTAACCCTAGTTAGACAAATCAAAAGCCTTTGAAACAACCGTCAACTTCACACAAAAAATATATTTTACGGCTGCTAAACCCCATAAACTCAGGTTTTGAATCGCTAATGTGCGTGGCACGACTCACTTAGCAACAGCTGGTTCATGTTACCAGGAAGTTGACTGCATACCTTAAGTAATTACTGCTTCGGTGGTGTTGAAACTCTTAGAGGCTAGCCAGACCAACGCTTTCAGCAGGGTGGCTCCCTGGTTTTTAAATAAACGCTCCACTTATGCACCAGATATTTCATTAACATGCGCCCTGTTGTCAGACTCAGAATGATCATTGGTTACAAACTCAAAAAACATATTCGTTAGCTGCGTTTAAAGTAACATGTAAGAGCACGGCAATGCAATAGTTACGTACCAATCGGTTGAGCCTCATCCGTAACATCTTTAATTCTTCTGTCTTCTTTGGTATCTGAAGACACTGAATGTGTTCCTTTTGTTGCAGCCAACTACAGGCTAGTTGAGCTTGATGATGAGTAAGTTTGCATGTATGACGGCAAAATGCGCCCTATTTAGCTATCTACTTCTTTCTAACCTGTTTCCCCGAGCTATATGCAATGCGGCGGTGAAGTTACATCGTTTCCATATTAATTGAATCCTGTCATCTCTAACCATTCGCATTCTCCTTTTGGATACTTTGCGCGGCGCTAGTCGCGGGAGCTCCCCGCGCGCGGGGTTGATAGAGTCAGCGGCATCCTGTACTCTGTGTGCCCTGTTGCTGAGCCTCCAAATTATTCACCGCATTCGCTTCCCCGCAGTTAACGGACTGCCCGCGACTGGAGATTGACGAGGTGGGGGAAAGTGATGGCGATCTCTTGAAGGTGCGGATTTCCACTCGTGTGCCGCCGCCCCCTCCTCTCGTTCAGATTCCTGTCAAACACATTTTACTCTCCGTCTCGAACGCAAGTGCCGCTACGACAACAAGCCCCGCCCCTTAATTGGTACCGTCATGACGCAAGCTTTCTGGGAAATGTGTTTTTTAGCTGTTTTTAGGCAAAGACTATTTTTTCATTGCATCTTCAAAAAGTGTTTCACTTTTGAGAAACTATAAATATATATATATTGGGACAAAGCATGTAAAATCCAGCATAGAATCAAGGTCAAAGTCAAAACAGTCATAAAAATTACATATAAAATTATATATATCCTAGGCTAGGCTGTAATATAAACATAAAATTTATTTTGAAATAGTTGGTTGGTGTATGCTGTAGTATAGACTCTTGGATAAACTGAATTAGCAAATGTGGCATACAGTAAAAGTAATAATGTATACTGTATCATATTTATTATTTAATTATTGCATGCATTAAAACACACACACACACACACACACACACACACACACACACACACACACACACACACACACACACACACATACATACATACATATATATATATATATATATATATATATATATATATAAAAAATATATATATATATATATATACACACACACTACAATATAGTATATAGACTACATGAACCATTAATAATACAGTATGCTCACTTTTGGGATGGGAAGGGATACATTTTTTTTTTACCAAAACTACTGAATAACGGACGTCCTCTCTCACCCCTTTACTCACACTGTCAGCTTGTTGATATATTTTGTTGTAGCACCACCACGTGGTTCATGTATAGATTGCAAGCATGTTGGATTTATCCAACAAGCATATTGATCCAAATTATAAATAAATTCTCATGCAGAGTGGTCATACTTTAATTTGTTTTTTGATACGTTCCAAAATTGTAGGCACATTTTAAAACGGATCTACCTATGTATCTATCTATATATCTATGTGTCTGTATGTATCTATGTGTCTATGTATGTATCTATGTAAATATGTATGTCTATCTATCTATCTATCTATCTATCTATCTATCTATCTATCTATCTATCTATCTATCTATCTATCTATCTATCTATCTATCTATCTATCTATCTATCTATCTATCTATCTATCTATCTATCTATCTATCTATCTATCAGTCTCAAAAGCAAGTAAAGGTTTTATTGAACAAGGGCCTAAACATAGCTCAACAAACTCAGGGTTATAGGATTAGTTTCAAGTTGACAAAACCAAACCAATTCAATCAGGCTTTGTTGGTACCATGACGCTGATCATTAGCTTTCTGTCAACTCAGGTGATCCTGAGTTCATGGAGCGTGTGCAAATGAAAGTGAACAGCCAATCACATGCCTTAGAACATAGAGAAACAGGGGCTGACCAAGAGGGCATACACACTAGTACTGGGCCTGGAGTCAGACTCCTCTGCCAAGTCTGACTGCCAAGGGTATTGGAGGAACCTCAAACAAGGGTTCAAAAGCTGGGGAACTCAACTGGAGAGAAAAATAAGCGCTCGCACACCTTCGCAATGTGGAATGGTGCCTGAAGCGGGACAGTGAGACAGTTATCCCACCAACTTATTATACCTTTAACACACAGAAGAAACTGGCTCCACCCAGAGATTATAAAATCTCGCAAAGGTGTCGCCCAGCCTGCAGCTCTGCAGATGTCTGCTAAAGAGGCGTTGTGCGTTAATGTCCAGGAGGAGGCTGCACTCCTTGTAGAGTAAGCGTTAACTCCGAACATGCCTTGAGTTTGGTGTGCCAAGGCAATGTCTTCTACTATCCAGTGGGCCAAACTTTGTTGTTGTTTGTTGGGCCAAACCCTTCTACTGACATCCAAAGCAGACAAAGAGTTCCTAAGGCTCTGCCTGTGGTCCACGTAGGGCATGAAATGGTTACAGCAATACAAGGGCTGAGTCTGCCTCCTCCAGGGGCAGTGCTTGCAAGTTCACCACCTGGTCCTGAAAAAAATGGTAGGAACTTTGGGTATTACCCACACCAAATGCCTGCAGGTCCCCCACCCTCTCTATGGGCATGAGCGCGGTCAAGAGCGCTGTCTTGAGGGACAGAATCTTAAGCTCGATTTACTCTAGTGGCTCAAAGGGCGCTCTCTACAGAGCTGTATGTACGTAGAGGTCCCATAATGGGATGAGGCGTGGCTGAGGAGGACTCTCAGGAACCTGATGAACAGGTTATGCTTTCCCAAAGACATACCTTTCACGGCATCATGATATGCTGCAATAGCAGTAACACATACTTTCAAGGTGGAGGAAGTTGCAACCTGCAGGAATGAAAGCACAGAGCTGATCAATCATTTATGGGGGTCTTTCTGACAGGAAGAACACCTATCAACAAACAGACTGTACATGAAGGCCTAAGCTTGGCTAGTAGAGGGGGCTCTGGATTGAGTGATAGTGGCCAACCACTGGTGGTAAGCCACTGAAGTCTGCCATGTCCCGTCCAGAGGCCACACATGGAGGTTCCAGAGATCTGGAAGCGGGTGCCATATGGTGCTGCGTCCTTGAGAAAAAAGGTCTTTCCTTAGGACAATCCGCCAGGGAGCTGTTGTTGCAGCGCAGTCTCATCCCAAGACGTCATACAACTGACGCTTTTGACCATACGTCAACATCCGCCGTTTTAGGGTACCCTTAAACGTTGGTTAGATGATGTTATCTAATCCTAACCCTACCCCAGACCTAAACCTACTCCATCACCTAACTGACGTTAAAGGTAAAGCGTCAGTTGGATGACGCCCCAGGATCGTCATCTAACCGACGTTTAAGGGTACCCTAAAACAGCGGATGTTGACGTATGGTCAAAAGCGTCAGTTGTATGACGTCTTGGGATGAGACTGTGTTAGTTGTTGCAAGGAGCATCAGGTCCGAGAACCAGGTCGAGGTGGCCCAGTATGACACAAGCATCAAGACCTGCTCCTCGTTCCTCCCTGACCTTACACAGTGCCTGTGCAAGCAGGCTCACTGGGGGAAATGCATACTTGTGTAGATCCAGGGGCCAGCTGTGTGCCTGTGCATCCGTGCCAAGGTTCCCCTCGGTAAGGGAATGAAAAAGCTGACAATGGGAGGATTCCGGAGAAGCAAACAGGTCTATGTGCATTCCTGAATCGACTCCAGATGACACATGAAGATAAGCAAAAATGTTACACTACAAACAGAGTGTAGTAAATGGTGGGGCCAGTGTTGTTTTTCAGCTGACGGTAGGGTACGCAATAGGTCGTGCAAGGTACAGTTAAATCTTTCACACTGCCCATTACCTTGGGGGTGGTAAGGGATGGAACCACTGCTGGACCAACACTTTGGCCACAGTTGAAGCCCTTTGATCTTTGGTAAGAGATGCTTGAGAGTACTTGGTAAAGATATCAGTCAAGATCAAAACATTCTCCCGACCATCACTTGCAGGTTCCAAAACTGTGAAGTCGATAGCCAGGACCTCATTTGGCTGGGTAGCCTGCAGTGTCCCCCAGTAGGCACCAATCTTGGGCTGGACAACCTTACCCAGTACACACCTTTGACATCCACCGTTCAGTATCCCTGGTCATATTTGGCCAGAGGCACGGTCCCGTTGGAGCTGGAGGGTCCTCTCGGTGCCCTGGTGCCCCTGATTATCATGGACACTATGGAGGACCCATTAGCGGTCCTACTAGGCAGTCCCATTGACGCAGCAGTGCCCTGCTAGGGCGAGACAATGGCTCCTCAGCTCTTGGACGATATCCTGCTTGATGGTATTTGTGCACCGGCCCTATGACTTGGTTAGTCTCTTGCAGCAGGCTTAGGTCTTGAGGTGTATGGCCAGGTAGCGCCACCGCTTCTCCACAGTGACCCTCGGCGGAAAGCGGCTGGACCATACCAGCCAGAGCTCCCAGCAATGGGACGTCTGTCCCAACAGCAAAACGGTCCAGGTATTGCCGGGATAATGCATCAGCATATTGGTTGTTCCTCCCTGGGCGGTACTTGATAGTGAATTTAAATGATGCAGTCTCATACTGAGAGGGCGGGATTCGCTGGTAGGGCTGGCGGCTGGGGCATCATCAACTACCAGAATCTCTTGAACAATCAGAAAGGTAGATCCAAAATCTCTATCACCCTTGGAGAAGATGCTTTTGTACTGGACAAAGAGGGCCTTGGCTTGGAAAACCTGCTGTGGAGCCAGCCCCTCAAAGTTGGTGAGAATAGATTCAGGGACACTGGAAGTGATTGGCTCCTAGGTAGAGACATAAGAACAACACTCTTTAAATGAGGGCGCAATGGCGACAGATTTGCGAGAGCTGCATGATCCTTACCCAGGCAGGAAACGCAGATGAAATGGCGGCTTCCGTCGCTGAGTTCGGCTCTGCACGAGCCACAGGAACAAGGCATTACCGAGCTGTATTTTACTTCAAAACCTAACAAAACTTACCAATTCACAAAATTAATGGAATGCAGCTGATATAAAAAATTGGATGACTAGTAATTTCCTACTTCTAAATTCTGAAAAAAACAGAGATTCTAATTATTGGACAAAAAACCTCCACACGAAACAGCCTAGAATAATGTCTAAAACTTGATGGCTGCTCTGTTAAGTCTTTGTCGTTGGTTAGGAACCTGGGTGTGCTCTTTGTTATCAATCTCTAATTTGAAAGTCATGTGGATAGTATCTATAAAACCACATTTGCCATCTAAAAAATATATCTAAATTACGCCATATGCTCTCATTGACAAATACGGAACAGTAAATTCATGCGTTCTTGACATCAAGACTAGATTATTGTAATGCTCTACTGGGTGGTTGCCCTGCATGCTTGAAAAACAAACTACAGCCAGTTCAAAACGCAGCAGCTCGAGTTCTTACCAGAACAAGGAAATATGACCATATTAGCCTGGTTTTGTCAACCCTGCATTGGCTGCCTATTAAACATTGTATAATTTTTTAAATATTACTGATTACTTGCAAAGCACTAAATGGTTTAGCTCCGCAGTACTTGAGCGAGCTCTTAACACATTATAGTCCTTCACATCTATTGCGATCTCGGAATTCAGG